ATGGCTAGACACTAGCGAATAAATATAGGAACATCAGTAAATAATAAAGGCTACACTGTTTACATTATTCGGACTATTGTCCTCATCTTTGTTACCATATCTATTACAATGTTTAGGCCGTTGTACGCTCCGGTGGTTGGAAATACTTCGCTCACTGGCATAGACTGTTCTATTTCCACGTGCCATATCTAATGGATGTCAGTTATCAGTTATCTCCTGTTAATTCCTCTCTCCAAGTTCTCCACTGTCTTAACCGGTTATTGAACTCACACTTTTTGGAGAGTGGAATTAACAGGCGATAACTGACAAATGACATCCATTAATCATAGCACGTGGAACTAGAACAGTCTACCCCAGTGAGCGAAACATTCCAACGACTTGAAGAAGGTGGGAGCGTATAACGGCCGAAACGTTGTAATAAATATGGCGACAAAGATGAGGACAATAGTCTGAATAATGTAAATAGTGTACATAATACCTCATCTCAGAAATATAGTCCGATAATAAAGGGTGCGTGGGTAAATTAACAATGACATCTCATTTTAACAGATATATTTACCAAAATTAAACAAAAATATTTCGAAATACTAAACAGTAAATTTATTAAATAAAATCGCCATTGGCTTCAACCATGACCTCCAGATGACTTCGGAATCTCCTGCAATTATTCTGGACGGTTTCCTTGTTTAAGTTCGTGAACGCTTGCCTTCATTTCATCTTTGGTATTACAAAGAATTTTGTTGGTATATCGCTGACTTAAAAATATAAAATGGCAAGAATTTACCCATCGCACCCTGCAGATTGGGTCTTAAGTAATTTCTATTTTGGGAAACCAACTGGAAAGACCGAATCTTGATGCGGCAATTAAAAAAAAAAATTCGAGTAAACTAACATATCCTTAGATTTTGTATTGGCCCTGGCAGCGTAAACAGTAGCTTCAGACATTCTTAACTCCATTAATAGAGAGGTTGAAAGTCTATTTTTTTTAACAATTACATCAGTCGAATTACATAGTGCCGTTTCATCAATTCATCCAAAGCAAGGCGGATAAGAATACTAAGATGCAAATGGTTTAACAGGACTGAAAAAGAATTAAAAGACTTTAGAAGGAAAAAGAAACAAAATTAAAAACCAAAAAAAAAAAAAAAAGAAAAAAAAGAGATAAACCTTTACTTCTGTTTAACAGACCGGCGATAGACAAACCTATTTACTCCTATTTGGGAGAAAAATAAAATAAATAGTGAATAAAATTTCATAGTTTAGGCGGATACGTTAAAAGTGCAGAGTTGAATTCGGAAGGAACCGAAAACCTAATGTTAAACAAGAAACAGGAAATAAAATTCTACTGTTCAAACGACCGAGGAAGAGTATGAACCGGTCGATACTCAAACCTTATCTATTTTTCTTCGGAGGGTGAATGCTGGACAATTTCCCTAAGGATGAGAAGAAAACTGGAGCCAACAGAAATGCGGATCTACTGAAGGATACTTAGAATTCCAAAAACAAACAAACAAAACACTTATACACAAAATTAGGAAAAGACAGCTGAGAAATTCCTTGGACACATAATGAGGAAAGATGGTTTGGAAAACTTAATCCGCACGAGGCATATTGAGAGCAACAGAGATAGGGGAAAGTAGCGAGCTTGTTTGAATGGATGGCAGAAAGTGGAATGGGAGTCTTAACAAAGGGAGAAAAACTGTTAAGAGCCAGACGAGATAGAAAGCTGTGGAGAGCCATGATTTCCTATTTCCCGAAAGAGAAGAAAATATTAATTTTAATAGAATGAAAGTAAGCTGCGGTAGTTAAGAAATAAAATGAATTTCAGGCACCAAAAATAATGAATTGTGTTCACAGGTCAAAGTTTAATGTAAAATTAATGCTTTTTCTGATACTAATGCTTTCGAAAAGATTTTAGTTTTTGTTGGACCGAAAATAGAGTCATTTCCTTGTTCTTAAGTTAATTTCAAATAGAGTTGGGATGATAGTTTTAAAAAGATTAAGCGTCGATTTCGAATTTATACAACAAGGAAAGTCGGTGCTTTTCAGATACGATAGATTATAAGTCTACAGGGTGTGGCAAAAGTATCGGCCATTTTTATTTATTAACTTTTATTGAACAAAAATAAATGACAGTAGTTTAAGAAAATTTAAAAGTATTGCCACATGAAAGCAAATTAATACAAGGCAGAGTCATTTATTGATTCATCTAAAACTTAATATGCACCCTTGGGAATATTGAAACAAGAGGAATAATTCCGTTATTAATTACTTTCTTTTCGTATTTTTCCAATGAAGCATGGCCCAGTGTACATGTTAATACTTCGTATATCCATTCCACGAAGTCGTTCCTTGCAGATTAACCACCGATTAACTTTGATTTAAATCAGGAGAGTTTTCTGGGCCAGTCGATAATACTTTGTTTTCTCACTGATAAGGCTTGCCAGTGTGTTCGTGCAGTGTTACAATTTTCGTACGTTTCCTTGAAGTAACGTCCATCGCAGACAATAGGCGTAGGACAACTAATCGACGATCGAGACAATAGTATCTGGGCGTGATAAAAAGGCCAAATAAATTTCATTATACACCTCGAAAATAGATTCATATTACTGCACATCACTGCAAATGACCTAATCTGAGAAAAAATAGAAACTGATTATACCCTGTCATTAAAATGGGTCTAAAACTGACCGTACGGTGAAAGAAAGAAACTAAAGCGGTTGTTTCAGTTAATTTGCACAACGGTGTATCTATTTTATTCAAGTTTACACTCGACCGATGTCTACATTTCTGATACTAATGTAGAGTATGTCTGTATGCAGTTCAATTCAACTCACACTTCCATTTTTAGTTAATCCAACTACAGAAATGTTTTCTGTCACATTTAAAATGTTTTCCCATGTAAACTCAGTTAATATTTCTCTTTACAATTCTAAAACGATGAGTTGGAGCGAGACCAAATAGAAATGATAGAGGAAAGGATGAAGAGAAGGATTGGGGATAGATCAAGGCATCTGAAGATGTTAATTGAAATTACATTTGAATAGTTGGAGATTATAGCTATCAGGGAAACAGGAAAAGGGAAGAGAGTTCCACAGGTGAGAAGTGCGAGACATGAAGCTATTGGAGTAGAAGAGACGGCTACATTTAACAGTTTCGGCAGTGAAAGGGTGAGAGCGAGATGCCAGCCTAGTTGAATGCTTAAATTCATGCAGTCTGGGAACCAGCGAAAGCAGCTCATCGGAGCAGTTACTGTGAAAGTATTTGTAAAAAAAAGACAGAGGGAGGCGACGGCACGTATGTGAGAGAGCGACTGCAGACGAGATGCCAGATCAGGGCCAATTGCATCTTATCAAGAACCTTGAGACAAACAGAAGGGGCGCCAAACTATATATGGCAGCAATACTCCATGCAGCTACCAAGTACATTCATGCTGACATGGCTTCTTCAGTAGGGGATGGCGTTCCCGCTTTATCAATAGTGGACAGTTGAATTTAGGAGGGAAAGGGAGAAGTAGTGAAGATGACCCAAAGTTTGGACATCCTGCAACTGTCACCAACGAAGAAATTGTTGATTGTTTTGTACACATGTAGATGGATGACAGAAGATTTACTATAGATGAAATATACAATGCTTTTAGCAAACCCAATGAGACAGTTGAGAATATTCTGCACAATATACTTGGCATAATTTGACCGTGTTCTATGAGGATGTAAGTGATCATGGCTCTCCATGATTTCCTATCCCTTTAGCTCTAAACAACGTTTGACTCAACGACACCTCGCCTAGTTTCTATCCAGGCATACAAACTCATTAGGCAAGTTGCTCGCTGTTTTCTCAACCCCTTCTCTCAATATGTCCTTTGAGTATTAAATTGTCCAAGCCGTCCTTCCTCAATATGTGTACAGGTGGTGTAATAGATATCGGCTCAGTATAAGAAATCGGATAATCGAATTCGAATTCTAATCGAGTACGTTGCATTCACTTACGCGCCAATACGCTGGCAAACGTACGAATACATTACTTCTTCCCAACTATGGGTTAAATAGTGGGATTTGCATCTGGAAATATCATTGTTATCTAAAAAATGTTAATGAAATGTTCAATCACAAAAAAAGAAGAATTATTCAAACAACCCAGACTCGCTCGGTTTTAAAATCAGTTCGCTTATCGCTCTGTTCACACTTCTTCCCAGTGTCCTGTCTATAAATACTTTCAAATGAATTTTCTTCTATGGTACTTAGACATTAGGAATTTAAACGAAATACTAGATTGGCAGCAAGTTCTCATTATTTTAGAGTTGAGATGGTTAAATGCACCCGTAAGTCCTATGCTAACAGTTTCTTCTCTAGCTGTGAAACCCTCTTCTGTCTTTTTGCTTCCCAATCAACATTGATGTAAAAATATGTTATCGTTATCTTCTGTTTTCTGAGTCCCTGTTCTTTTATTCTACTTCTCTCCTGTGTGTTTATTTTTCTCATATTCTCTAAGTGGCTTGATCAGGTGAAATATTGAAAAAAATGAAATAAAATAAAACCTATATTTCTTTTATAACTTGTGAATATGAGACTTTTCTCGTTACTTCTCGTTATTTCTCGTTACTTTTCTCTCGTAACGATAATTTTCATTTTCTGCGTCGACGTTCGGGGTGTAAACGCCTAGATTCTGAATATTCTTCTAGTACAACATGTGCTTGTAAGCTTTACCATCTGCAGTTTATATTTATATATATATATATATATATATATATATATATATATATATATATATATATATTCATTCACGGAGAAACGTAAGATTTATTGTCAGCGTACGTTAACAGACTTTCCGCTGGTTGCTCAAAAGAATCGTGCAGTGTTCTGCTCATTCATCACTGCGAAAGCAACAATTTGAAAATTACAGGTTCTATGAACGAAAGGCTAAATGAATCTGTTCTGAATTCGCTGTAGAGCAATATGCCCTTTACATCAAGCGGTCAGTTACGCAACTGTTGAAATACATTATCCATAACAGTATATTATATATAGAGAGAGAGGGGGGAGGGAGAGAAAACGAACAAGATAAATAGAAAAAGAAAGAGATACAGAAAGAAAGAAAGAAAGAAAGAAAGAAAGAAAGAAAGAAAGAAAGAAAAAGTGGGGAAGAGCAAGCAAAATGGAACAAGAAAGCGAGAGAAATAAAGAGGAATAGAAAAAGAAAGAGAGGGAGAAAGAAAGGCACAGAAAGAAAATAAAGTTGAACGAAAAATGGGGGATGAGAAGGAAAATGGAACAAGAAAGTAAGAAAAAGAAAAAGAAAGAAAGAAAGAAAGAAATAGAAAAAGAGAGAGGGAAAAAGAAATTTAAAGAAAGGAGGAACTGTGTAAGAGAAAGAAAAATGGAACAAAACAGCGAAAGAAAGAAGTCGAAAAAGCGAGAGAGAAAGAGATAGAGAGAAAAAAAGAGACTGATAAAAAACATCATTATAGAAATAGATAGAGAAACAGAAAGAAAGAATAAAAGAACCGAAATTAAAAATAGAAGCAAAAAATAGAGAGAGAGGGGGGATGGGAGAAAGGCAAGTAAAGACATAGAAATAGAGAGAGAGGGGGGGGGATGGGAGAAAGGCAAGTAAAGACATAGAAATAGAGAGAGAGGGGGGATGGGAGAAAGGCAAGTAAAGACATAGAAATAGAGAGAGAGGGGGATAGGAGAAAGGCAAGTAAAGACATAGAAATAGAGAGAGGGGGGATGGGAGAAAGGCAAGTAAAGACATAGAAATAGAGAGAGAGGGGGAGAAAGGCAAGTAAAGACATAGAAATAGAGAGAGAGGGGGGATGGGAAAGGCAAGTAAAAACATAGAAATAGAGAGAGGGGGGATGGGAGAAAGGCAAGTAAAGACATAGAAATAGAGAGAGAGGGGGGGATGGGAGAAAGGCAAGTAAAGACATAGAAATAGAGAGAGAGGGGATGGGAGAAAGGCAAGTAAAGACATAGAAATAGAGAGAGAGGGGGATGGGAGAAAGGCAAGTAAAGACATAGAAATAGAGAGAGAGGGGGATGGGAGAAAGGAGAAAATAGGCAAGGGGGATGGGAAAGACATAGAAATAGAGAGAGAGGGGGGGGAGGAAAAGGCAAGTAAAGACATAGAAATAGAGAGAGAGGGGGGATAGGAGAAAAGGCAAGTAAAGACATAGAAATAGAGAGAGGGGGGGATAGGAGAAAGGCAAGTAAAGACATAGAAATAGAGAGAGAGGGGGATAGGAGAAAGGCAAGTAAAGACATAGAAATAGAGAGAGAGGGGGGATAGGAGAAAGGCAAGTAAAGACATAGAAATAGAGAGAGAGGGGGGATGGGAGAAAGGCAAGTAAAGACATAGAAATAGAGAGAGAGGGGGATGGGAGAAAGGCAAGTAAAGAAATAGAGAGAAGGGGGGATAGAGAAAGAAAGACATAGAAATAGGAGGAGGGGGAGGGAGAAAGGCAAGTAAAGACATAGAAATAGAGAGAGGGGGGATGGGAGAAAGGCAAGTAAAGACATAGAAATAGAGAGAGAGGGGGGATGGGAGAAAGGCAAGTAAAGACATAGAAATAGAGAGAGAGGGGGGGATGGGAGAAAGGCAAGTGAAGACATAGAAATTGAAAAAAAGAAAAAAAGAAAGAGAAAAAAGCGGAGAAAATGAACAGAGAAACAGAGAGAAAAGAAAGAATGACCAAAAAATGACAAAGAATAAAAGAATGAGATAGAAATTAAAAGGGAAAACTTAGCAAGAAGGGAAAAGTAACATGCAACGAAAGAGAGGGAGAGGCAGAGAGAGAAAGAGAGAGATAGAAAGATAGATAGATAGAGAGATAGAAAGAGATATAGAGATAAGAGAAAATAAGAAAGGAAAGAGAATAAAAGAAAGACAAAAGGAAGAAAAAGAGAAAGATAGGAACAAAAAAGAAAGAACAATAAGAGTGAGGCTATAGATATATAATGACTCGACCGAGATAAACAGATCGATAGCTAGAACTAAAGAATTAGATTGATATATATATATATATATATATATATATATATATATAGATTAGTAGGTAGATAGATAGGTAATGATTCGACACAGATAAGTAGATAGATTGATAGATAGAAACAGATACTGACAGATAGATAGATAGATAAAACAGAGTGAAATAGATAATGATTCGACCGAGATAGATAAATGGATAGATAGATAGTGAACTTACTGCAATAGATTGATACTTTGAAACAGACAATTAGATAGAAGGATAGCTAGCTAGATAGCTAGCTCGCTAGATAGATAGATAGAAACATACATAGATAGATAATTAGATAGATAAACCAGATTTTCTGTCTTTTTATCCATTTCGCAGTCTGACGAATAATAATAATAAAAGTAAAAATTGTTGGATTGAGAAACGTTTACCATTTGTTCTGTCGGATTCCAATACACATTTGATCTATAATTGATCCTGAATTCATATATATACAGACTGGGTTGGGTAAATTGTCGCCATTTTATATTTTTAATTTCGCGCATGCGCGGTATTTGTTTAATACGGTCAATTGGGCACCGTCTTTGAGAAAAAAGTTCACCATGAAGCAATTCACTGCGCCAGGAATTTGCAAACAGCATGCTGTACTGCTTGGCATTGGCGTCGGACATTTCACAGTGTTTGGGTGTCAATCTGGGGAGAGTGCAGAGGATTCGTAAAGAGTTGGATGAGTTTGATTGTGATTACGAAGGTGTTTGGAGTGATCACTAGTGATGGCGATGTTATGCCTCCATTCATCTTTAAACAGGGCCTTAGACACATTGCGGAAGCCTACATCATAATGATGATTACGAATGCACGGCAACTAAGAAAAGTCACTTTGAAGGTTCTGATAAGATAAGAACATTCAAATATTCCGACTAATGCCTCAGACTCAACACGGAAGCCTACATCAAATGCTTTGATGAGGTATTGCCGCTCTGTGTAAAAAGCGGGGGGCTTCTGAAAGACCCTATATCTGGGAACACCAACCCTTACACCTGATCCCCTAACTCCCTAGACTGCACCCACCGCCTTGATTATTATGTGTTGGATGCAGTTGAGCGAGAAAGATGAACTGAAGGCAAAGATTATAGCATCATTCACCAACTTAAACAAGGGTGACCGTTCAGAAGAGATACAGCTGATTCCGAAGTCGTCAGGAGGCCGTGATTGGAGCCAATGGCCATTTTATTGAATAAATTTACTCTTTAGTGTTTCAAAATATTTGGCATAAATCAGTGTTTTCATTTTTGCGTAATTTAGACGACAATTTATCCATCACACACACACACACACACACTATATATATATATATATATATATATATATATATATATATATATATATATATGTGGAGAGAGAGATAGAGAGAGAGATATATATATATATATATATATATATATATATATATATATATATATATATATATATATATATAGATAGATAGATAGATGGACACAATAATTAGATAAAATTTAGACACAGATAGATAGAAAGATAGATACATAGACCGAGATAGAGCGAGAGAGAGAGAGAGAGAGAGAGAGATGGAGAGGGAGAGAGAGAGGGAGTGAAAGATAGAGAGAGAGAGAGAGATGGAGAGGGAGAGGGAGGAAAAGATAGAGAGAGAGATGAGCACAAATAATTAGATAATGGTTAGACATAGATAGATAGATAGTTAAACAGATAGCTAGAAGAGAGAGATATATAGATAGATAGTTCAACAGATAGCTAGAAAGATAGATAGATAGATAGATAAAAAAATGAGCTGAGATAGATAGACAGATAAAAAATAGTCTGAGATAGATAAAAATAGGCTGATATATATATATATATATATATATATATATATATATATATATATATATATATATATATAGAGAGAGAGAGAGAGAGAGAGATAGATAGATAGATAGATAGATAGATGTAAATGAGTGCCAGACATTGCAAACATGTTTGCTTTGTGGGCCACACCGTGATAAACGACATTGAGATATGTTGAACTTCTTAGCTACTGCAAGAAGAATCTCATTAGAGATTGATAATTTATGTGTAAGATCCTCGTATATATTTGGCTATTGTACTCGTTTTCTTATTGTAGCCATTGTCGCAGTGGTCTTTGCTTTATCTTGTTTTTTTTCTCCTCCCCAAACGCGTCTACCTTTTTTTTTACTGTTTTTTTTTCTTTTTTCTTTTTCTAATGATTTCCTTGTGCGTATTCTCCTTTCTGGTTTCAATACGTTTGATCATTTTTTTCATTCTTTTTTCTTCTTATTATTTCTCGTCTTGTTTTTTTTTTATCCCATTTTCTTCTTTATTTTTCAAACATTCACCACTTTATTCTTCACTCTCGCTTTCTCCGCTTGAATTAAAAAAATATTATTATTATTATTATTATTATTATTAGTGTCTGTTGTGTTCGTCGCGTTTTTTGTCGTTGGGTGTGGATAGTTTTACTGATAGATTTATGTGTGTTTATTGTGTCAAACATTCAAGAGAACAAAAGGGGCCATTGAGGGCGGGTGTTGGTACTACGAAGGTTTGGTCTACGTTTTTTTGCAAGTGGGTGGGTGACAAGGCAGCGGAAGCGTTTGTTAGGGGGATAAAAAAAAAAGAGAGAAAGAAAGCAAGGAATGAATGGCGAAAAAACAAAGAACGACGTGGGCAGAAAGACTGAGAATGATAGAGACTGAAAAATAAGAGAGACGGGAGAGACTGTCGGAACAACAGAACAAGATGTGAGACAGGCGGGGAAAAAAAAGAGAAACTTCAAGAAAGTGTAAGTGAAATAGACGGAAAAGAGAGAGACTTGCGAAAGGAGAGTGAAAAATGTGGACGAAGTGTGAGGAAAAGAGAAAGAGGAAAATAGATATAAAAATAGAGAAGCACATAAGAGAGAGAGAGAGAGAGAGAGAGAGAGAGAGAAAAGAGACAAACGTGAAGAAAAAGTAAAGCTGAAGAAAGCGAAAAAGAAAATGGGAAAATCTGTGGAAAAGATACTAAAGGCTGTAGAGTTTGAGTAAGAAAGAGTGAAAGAAAGTAACAAACAGAAAGAGCTAGAGAGAGAGAGACTGATAGAAAGAGAGAGAGAGAGAGAGAGTGACAGAGAAAAAGAGACAGAGTGAGAACAGAGAGAAAGAAAGACAGAGACTGACAGAGAGAGAGAGAGAGAGAGAGAGAGTGAGACTGTCAGAAAGAGAGAGAAAAGAAACTTACACAGAGAGAGAGAGAGAGAGAGAGAGAGAGTAAGAGACAGATTGACAGATAGAGAGAGAAAGAGACATACTGACAAAGATAGACCGACAGAGAAAGATAGAGAGAAAGATAGAGAGAAAGAGAAAGAAAGAGAGAGGGCGAAAGAGAGGTTGAAACATAGAGAGAGGGAGAAAGAGAGAGGGCGAAAGAGAGGTTGAAACATAGAGAGAGGGAGAACGAGACTGGCAGACCGAGAGAGAGAGAAAAGAAACTGACAGAAAACCGGCAGAAACAGAGAGAGTAAAGAAACTGACAGATATATATATATATATATATATATATATATATATATATATATAGATAGATAGATAGATAGAGAGAGAGAGAGAGAGAGAGAGAGAGAGAGTACCATAAGTTCTATGCTGACAGTTCCTTTTTTCACGCTTCTCGCTTGTCGAAGTCTCCTTCGGTTTCTTGTTTTCCACCTAAATTTGTTCTTTAAAAATTTAAATGCAATGTCAATCGTTAAATTCTGCCATCTTAAATTCTGTATTTTATTCTTTCTCTTCAATAATGTTTTTTCTTATATTTTGACACATTCAGTAACCATCTATGTCTTAGTGGCTTTGTTGCCTTTCTTGGTTTGTTTAGTCAGTTTAACGGTATTTCAACTCCTTATTGGTTATTTAATGCCGAAATTTAACTTCTCTTAGAAACAGTAATTTCTTTTACATAAATGTTTGCTAGCATTTTTTTCTTATAAAACATATTGTTGCTATTTTTTTACTGTGAAAATGTATCACAAGTACCTTCACTATAAAACTGTATTTTTATACTTTCATAGTGTTTTGACCCCAGTTTGAGAGTTCGCTATTTGTCAGTAGCTGGAGCCCTAACAGGTACTATCACTCCGGGTCAGGGTGGACCTGGGAACAGCAGCAATTAATTGTTTAACGGCATATCAAACTCCATATGTGTCATTTGATGCCGAAAGTTTATTTTCTTATGAGTTTTGGTAAATTTTCTTTTCCAAGAATGTATTGCTGGTAATTTTTTTTTTTACTATAAAAATGTATTTTTCGTAATTTTTTGCAATGTATTTTTATATTTTCATGTTTTGACCCCAGTTTGGGGGTTCGCCATTTTCTACAGGTGTGACACTAACCCCGGGTGTTACTAGCCCGGGTCAGGGTGGACTTGGAAACATCAATTCTGAGATGGATCCACGTTTATCAAAACCTCTTGTTGGCAGATGTAGTTTATCGCTATGCTGTTATATAGGAATAAAGTGTCGCTGTCGACACTTGAGTTTGAACTTAGATAGCCAGTGACCAAAGACAGGCAATCCCATCATTGAATTAAGTAGACCACGTGACCATAGAAAAAATGCATTTATAGGAAGATTTGTGTGTCTAATTGATCGCCATTCTTAATCTATCTTCTATTACTATACGGACCGCTATTCTCTACTCTATTCACTATATTATTTCTCTATTCAGATCACTCTACGGATTACTATTCGAGCGAGTATTATTGAGCAAGTGATATTCGAAGGCGTCTGAGACCAGTATTGTTCGACGGCCTTACTATAGTTGCCATCTCAAAGTCTCTACTATAACAAGCGTTACGAAAGTGACAACGCGTATTCGTTGACATTACAAAAAATACCCAGAACTCTGCCTTGGAGTGAAATGCTTCAAAAAACTGCTTCGTTTTTACTGTTGTAAGGGCAGAAGACGTTTGGAGGAGCCAAATATAAAGAAACCGACAATTTTTCCAGTGTCTTTAGCGATGGATTCTATACCGAGTTCAACTTCAGATCTCGAGTGAACTTTAGCCTTATGAGATGTTCAATGCGACGGCATTTACTGAAAGTATAAGCGATTATTATGGATGGAGAAAATAATAAAACGTTACTATTGTTTTTTGCTATATTGAATGATACGAACCAGTTATTCCTTCCTGATGAATTTTATATTCCATACTGATTATGACTATCTATCTATCTATCATATATATATATATATATATATATATATATATATATATATATATATATATATATATATATAAGCAAAAAAAAACAAATATTACCTCAACATCAATATAGTTCATTTCAAGCCGTTCTATACACGGCTATCATCAGTGTCTGTCTCGGAACATTATCTTTGATTTATTTTCAATGTCAGTCGTCTTTTCGTAGACGCTTTGTCAGTGGATTGATTAGTTTTAATAATTTATATTACTAGGTTTCATCCGGATTATATACCAACGGATCTATTAACTGTAATATATATATATATATATATATATATATATATATATATATATATATATATATATATATATATATCATCGACTCTTCCGTCGAATTCAACGTATGAGGGTCAAGCAGATCAGTTCCTAGGAAGCCGACAGCTCGACAACAGCACATGAGATTTGATTATAGTGGTGAAGGTTTCGTGCATGACCATCCACACTTTTTGAAGGGCCGAATACAGAGACTTGGTGCACTACGTGCCACAAGGTCCCCGAACGCAGGTTTGAATTCATAGTTGTCCTTCTCCTAGAGCAGTTGCCATCCAAGGCTATAGAACCCAGTCTGCTATTTACCCATAGCTGGAGGGAGTAGAAGAGGATTCACACATTTCCCAAGGGCATATATATATATATATATATATATATAATTAATACCACCAGGATACCAACGGATCGATTACCTCTACTACACACACACACACACACACACACATATATATATATATATATATATATATATATATATATATATATATATATATAGGTAGGTAAAAATCGTTGGTATAATCTAAGTGAGTCCTATTAACACAATATGAAATTTGAAATATTAAATATTAAATGTTAAAACTGACTCATAAAGAGCGCTCAATGTTTATTTCCATTAAACAGAGTAAAATCTTTCGTACAATTCGAATTAAGATACCATTAGTTAATGACCATTTTCACCTGCGAATTTTAAAATTTAAAATTCGCAGGATTTTTCTAACTGTTTATGGTGTCAGTTTGTACAAGGAGTCTGGTTAGTTGGGGAAAGAAAGAGAGAGACAGAGAGAGGGTGGGGGAGAGAACGTCAGAGGAGAAGACAGAGGGGAAGAGATGGCAGAAAAGGGCATAATTACGCCAAGACCTCTTTGAATGCAGTTACTATGTAAGAACACTGAACACACTTCAAAGCGTTCAACTCTTTGACTTTTTGAGTTCATGAGGCAAAAATCGCGCACCATTGGGATAATATATTAAAAGTAGAATTACATGCAAGTTTTATTTACTAGTTATTTAATTGTTAGATGTGCTGTTCAAAATGTCTTTCTTCCTTTTTCGAAACCCTTTACCTGCATGATTAATTAACAAGTTGGAAAGTTTTCCTCTGTCAATTTAGTGCATTCATAGTTAATTCTTTCTTTAAGTTTTTGGGCGGGTCTGATAAACAACTAATTTCAAATCTATCTATAATATATATATACAGAAAAAATCCAAGGGTGTGAGGTCTGGTGACCTCGGTGGCCACTCGACAGGACATCTTCGAAATATCCATTAAGAGCTATGGTGAGCGACCTTTTACTTATCCTGTATATTATTCTAATGATGTAATGTTTACGTTTATCAATTAAAATCATGGCAGGGGCTATATTAAGGAAAATAATACGAAACATAAAACAAGAGATTCGTGGGGTTAATATTCAATTGGTTTATGTTGTTCCTGGTACAATAAAATTAACCCTTCCTGCTTCAATCTCTGGTGCCTTATCAAAACTCCTGGAGAGGTGGGTTTGAAGTATTGGAATCATGAATCTGTTTGGCTGATGACGTGGATTTAAGAGCCACTCACTGCGGTATCTTAGCCTAAAGTCTCCAAGCTCTCCAAAGTCATCTGTTTATAGGCACTTCGACCCAAAACTGGCGTGGATCCAAACGATTCGGGGGATTCGGTGATTCTTAAATTTTAAGTAATTTCAATAAAGGTTTTCTTTGTTTCCTATTTCTGCTTACTTAATCAACTTTCCACTTTATGATGAGGTGGAAAGTACTTGGGTAATAAAAGTGATTTTCACTGTTACAATGTCTTATTCAATTGTAATATAGGGAAAATATTCGTGAATATGAAAGGATTATGATAAAAATAAGCAGGCATGAAGTTTGTAATTTATTCAATCAGACATGACGAAAAGAGAATTTGCTGTCTAAACACACACACACACACACACACACACACACACACACACACACACACACACATATATATATATATAGTACATCTAATCGATTCGTTGGTATATAATCCGAGTGGATCCTAGTAATATTAATTAATAAAACTGATCCACAGAGAGCTCGATGTTTTTATTTTAACAGAGCATATGTAGTTTTACAGCAAAAAAAAGCAAAAATTACCTCAACATAGCCGTATAAAGAACGGCTTGAAATAGACTATATCTATGTTGAGGTAATTCTTGTATTTTTTGCTGTAATATATATATATATATATATATATATATATATATGTGTGTGTGTGTGTGTGTGTGTGTGTAAAATTTAAATACAATGTCGATCCCTATCTACTTTCCTCCAGATTAGTATTTTTTCTTCCCCCTCATTCTTAATGTTTCTGTTTCTAATTCTTCCACACCCGCCAACCCCTTGTGTCGTAGTGGATATACTGCCTTTCATTGCGTGATATCGATTAAAAAACAAACAAAAAGTTGGACAGGCTTCCTCAAATCTGAACAAAAGAAAAATGTGTGTGTGCTTGTGTGTGTGTGCGTGTTTGTGTGTGTTTCTGTCTATGTGTGCTTCAATATTAAATCGTTAATAATTTTTTTCACGAAGACTAGCTTTCCTCGGTCCGCGGATGAAAGACCAAAATTGTGTGACTTTTGTATAAAAAGCTGTTATGCTGTTTGCCTTTGTTTTCAGCTTTTTTTTCCGACAGTTTTGAAGCACATGCGCACAAACATACACAAACATATATTTATTTTGTTCGAATCCGAGGAAGCCTACCTTAACGATGGCGAAACGCGTAAGCAAGTCAATAAAAGTGTTTCACTCTTGTCAATTTTATCAAACTTTCTCTACATCCGGTATCCTATTAGGTTGAGTCATAACCAATTTCCATTTTTTTACATCTGTCCTCCTATATGCCAGTCAACGCTGGACAATCTCTTCAAAGATGAAGAAACCACTTGAAGC